CCCCCCCCCCCCCCTAAGCGCAGCTTTTGACCGCCTCCAAAAAGAGGGAAAAAAAATACAAAAAAGTGTAATCAGAAGCACGGGTTGTTGTTCCGCTAACAATCCTACACTAAAACCTATACACTAAATAGTCGCTGTTGGGATACCCTACAGAGGGAAGGGAGCGAAAAAAGAGTCGAGGGCATGACAATATTTTTCTTGGCTTAAGCGGGGGCGTTCTGTATGGATGCCATTAGATGACGTTGCCCTTCTTTGTGGTCGTCGAAGAGTTCTACCGGGGGTACGGTAATTAACGTATTGACGCGCAAAAAATTCGGGTCGTGTGCACCAACAGCAATAAATCATGACCACAGCCTGTGAGCACGGGAATCGACCCCGTAAGTGTTCACTATTAGTACAGATAGAAGAAGGTACTGGGAAGAGGGAACGGAACGGTTCATGATGTGAAGAGAGCAACAACAACAACAACAACAACGTGGAGTGAATGCTTCTTGTCAAGGACAAACCTAAGGTTCGAAACTTCTTTTTGAAACAAGACGCGCGGAACAATATCAGTGGCGGCGTCCGAACGGACGAAGGGCCAACAACAGCAGACAGCTTTTTTGTATTTATGTTTCCTCAGACAGCGGCGAAATCACCCGCTGGTTGCTGAAGCCATCGATTTAATAGTTGGATGTCAAGCTGCAGGTTGTAGGTTTTGGAAAAAAAAACACGCATCAATCTTTCACAAACAACTGAAAACTACAGGTTCGAGGTAATGATACGACGGCAGTCGAAGGGATGTGTTCGAGTCTTTGCAGTGAGTGGGGAAGAAACCCTGCTGGTTACGTTCTACTGCTGTGGGTAATCTCGAACGGGTACAAGTACTTGTGGTCTTTCTGTATGCAGTGTAGCGGAGGAGCGACAACGGTGGATGCGGCGGTTCATGCACAACAAACAGGCCCGGCAATAAATTCTCCGATCTTGCCGCGTGACGCCGTGCAACACCGCTCGTGTATATTCACAGACTCTCTGGCAACAGCAGCAAGTAGTCGCCAAAGCGGAGCGTCGGCGTGCTTGCTGCTGTGGCACTACCGATGCACGCACCGGCATTGGAAAAACTGACGGTTGTACATGGACCAACTTTTTCTGTTTTAGGCAGGCAGGCGTACAATAGAAACATGACGTGGGCAATAAGCACTCCTGTCTCCGAATGTTGAGCGATATTCCCTCTGTGAGAAGCTAGGCCTTTGGAGCATACACTGTGGTTTTATATCTGACGTACGTATAGCGCCGGGGGGGGGTGTACTCCGGGCGCGAAGGTTGTGCAGCATGGTCAGATGATCAGCATGGTTGAACACTTCGTTCGCGCGGTACCAGCATCTTGGCTCGGGAAAAAGTATGTGCCAGCTATGCATGCTCCTTTGCAACTTACAACTCTCGTAGTTCGACGACATCAAGCCACAACACAGCACAATCTCCCAGAGACCTCGACGTGTGGGAGGAAGGCGCGGATTGCTGTGCGTACATGCAGTAAATAGTGTTCCGCCGACAACGGCAGCGGAGACGGCGGGATTCAAAACGGGTCTAATCCTGCTACTCATCTCACCTCGATGCTTTTGCAATCGAATGCATCCAGAGAAGCGATACTCCTTCGGAGTTTCGACGTGGACATCTACGGTGCCTCCTGGCGTCGCACAAAACCGGGCCCAGACGGACAAGGAGCTACCACTGCTGCTTACAGCAAGTCGTCATCGCAGGCCCGTACTATTTACTTGATGGCACTGTACGGTGGTCCCGCAGCCTGCAGCTAATAGTACCCCCCCCTCATTTATTGGAATACATTGCGGGGGGCAACGCACGGGGCAACTCATGATCGTGGCTGCTCAGCACTCAACTTCCTTGCACTGCTTTCCCCTCTTTCTCCTTGCACACGCCCCAGGAGGGACCAACCAGACTGGGGAGAAGCCGGAAGGGTAGCTGCTGACGATGCTATCGGACAAAGGGAAGGCGGCCTCCAAGGGTTGTAGTACAGGCGGCACAGCTCAGCGGCAAGCTGGCAAGTCCCACCCTACCACCGGTCCCTCGTTCACTCTCAAGAGCATTCCTGGGAAGACCACTGCGGACAAGCGACGAGTGAGTGAAACCGGCCACGGAAGCCCTTGTACCATTGACGGCTTCCCGCGGCCAGCTGGGCCACTGTGGCTAGAGGGAAAGGGCCAGCGATAAGAGACAATGTTTAGGTACAAGAGCGGGCAGAGATCCAGATACACGGGACTGTCAGGTTTTGCGGCGGTTGGGAGCACTGGCTGTCGGGGCGGCGACCTCTCCGGGAGGGCCTCTGGCTGGCTGCAGTAGGGCGTTTGCTGCCTCTCGCTGATATACTGTGCTTGGGTAGATAAGCGGTTTGGTGTTGCCGGGCGGTCTGCTTATCGGACGCAGCCAGGGAGAGCGGTTCCACCCTGTAGTTGAGTTTAGACTTCGTTGGGAAATTCCACAACGTGCTGCTGCTATAGATACCCTTCTTGGACGTGGAGGTCGACATCGCCGATTTACCCTTGGCATCTTAACGTTGTGCCTTATGCACTTGCTGCTGCAGCGCTGTCGGCATCCATTGTCAGCGTCACTTCTACTGCAGCCTGTCTGGCGACGTGGTTTTCCTGTACGACATTGATGAAACGAAATTGGTTTGGGGGAGTGCCCCGCTCTCCGCCCTCGACAGTGTAAGAATAGCTACAACAGTCGCCTATTGCCTTGTGTTTTCGCAACATCGTGGACGCGATGCCCCTACTGCTGTAAGTAATAACAACACATGATGATGTACTCGCGGCAACCACGCCCCAAGGAACCATGCAGAAGCTGCTCCGCATGATCACATTCCGTCACTCCCATCCCCTCTGGTGCGTAGTGCCTGGTGCTGGTACCCTTCGATTTTTTCTTTGGGCGGGTGTGGGAAGCGTCCTCCTGTATTTTGTTTTTGTTTTACTTTGATCGGTTTCCGAGGGCTCTTTTCTCGAACCGTCTGTTCTTTTCTTTCTGTCTTTTTGTTTTCTTTCTCCGAGAGGTTGTACCCTATTTTTGTTTTGTTTCCCCGCGGCGTCGTATGTGCCGGGTTTTGAGACCACGGGCTCCCCATTATTTGTGGACTAGTATTGAGCTTATGTGAGAAACAACAACAACAACAACAACAACAACAACAACAACAACAACAACAACAACATTCCATATTTATCAAGGCCACCCCGCTCACCGACGCTCATGTACATCGCCCCCAGACCGCACGACACACGGACTTGGAAACTTGAAATGAATGTCGTTGGAATCGTCGTATGCAAACACATGCATACGATCGATCATTCCCCGGAGCGCCGTCACGTCGGACACTGGTATGTAAGGGATAAGGGGGGCTGTGCTTGTGAGGTCCGTACAACCCAGGCTTGTGTTTGAGAGAGAACCCTCCCTCCTCCGTTGTGTTTGGACCGGCAAACAGGCTTGGTTGCGGGCACTCGCTCCGTGCAAGGGACCAGACGGGTGTGGACTTCCGGGCCACTCTTTGTCGTTGTAATCAATCCCGTCTGCAAACTTTGACAAAGAGGATGGTCTAACACGTTGCCTATATTACGCAATGACGGTCGCTCCGCTCTCTCTCTTCGGCGAGAGATGAAGGGTCCCCTCCAATCTTTGCGCTCTCCGCATCATGTGCTTCCGAGTCTCTCGCCAAATTGACGCGCCCCCCCCCCCCCCCC